TGAAGGAGAATTATAAAGTCTCTATTGCCTTTAATGTGCCATGTTGTATGGATGCTATCTCATCTAATTCTATCCTCTCAGCCACCTACATGGATGGATGAAGAAACTGGATATCAGAAAGGTTTTCTTTTTTTTATGGATGAAGAAACTAGTTATCAGAAAGGTTAGGTAATTTGCCCAAGCCTATTCTACACCACATTTCCTACATTAGGAAGAGGTATGAGACAACCTAGGCTCAAAGACTATGAGTCAAAATTTTCATTGCTGTGTTCTTACTGTAAGCTGAACAAATCATGGTTTATTTTTTGCTTGTACTATTTTGTAGTACTTAGTAAGGATGTGTACTCAACATAAAGATGATGTCACTTTGTGTATTTTATAAATCTTTTTCACATTATGTACTCTTTCCGACTTACGATAATCCTGGGAAATAAGGAAAAGATTAATTAAAAATCTGGAACAAAATTCCAATTCTATTTTCTAGATTATGAACCCTCCAAGGTCAAGAATCTAGTTTTATTCATTTTCTGTCTTTATCCAGTGGGGTAGATTGATTGCAAAACTGAACAAAACTCTTCCTTCACCACCCCTCTGCCCCATTTTTACAAAGTGTCCATGGTAAATTTGTACCGTTTTGTCTTAACTCAATTGGAACTAGTCTTTGCTAGAATTCTGTTCCCTGCATAGTTGGAGGTTAGTGGCCCACAACAGACATTTTAAAAGACAGAAATGATGAAGCAGCAGCAATATTCCTTCCTAGATCTGAAGCTCTCTGACTCTGGGCCAGGTGCATGTTTAATTCCATAAAGAACACTCACTTTTCCTACAGACCATCCATCATGGAAGTGGGAGGCTTGGAGGCAGTGCAAAAGTGACGTGGGTTTTGGCTCAGCCTCACAGGTTCAGTTTCCCCTCATTCTTCAACTTCACATCCGTCTTTCCTTTTGATTGCTTTATCTGCAGATTTCAGGCTCCAGCACCAGATAAAGAAGCAAGAGCCTCCCATAGTCTGTTTAAGCAGCTACCACAATTAGTAACATCAAATTCCTATAGTCAATTCCTTATTTTATATCTATATGTATATACACATATATGATTGCATTTCTATAAATATAAAAATAAATTTATATTCAATATTCTATATAGAAATATGTATTTATAGATATGTACATACATATATACATATACATTTGTTATTGGTTTTCTTTCTAGTGGTTCTGCTTCTCAAATGGAACCCTGACACGGTGTCTTTGCAGCTCCTCCTTATCCTTTGGATCTGGGTTGGCTTTGTGATTTGCTTTGGTTAATAGAATGAGGCAGAAGTGACAGGGCCCAATTCTGAGCCTAGGCCTCAAGAAGCCTTGCAAATTCTCTCTCTTGGAACCCATAAGCACTGTGTGTACAATCCCAGGCTAGCCTATTGTAGGATGAGAGACTACTGCATGGAGGAGGGCCCAGTTGTCCTAGCCAAGGCCATTCTAGACCAGCCTATAACCAGCTTTCCCACTAAAATACGAGCAAGCTCAGCCAAGATCAGCAAAGCAGCCCACTTACCCCCAGCTGACTGCAAATGATGAGTGAACCCACCTGAAAGCAGACCCATCTGACCTATAGGCTTCCCAGTAGTAATAAATGCATAAGGTGTAAGCCACAAATCTCCAGGTGTTTCCCCCCCACAAAATGGCTAACTGATGCATCCAGTATATTAAATTTTTCTTCTTTTATTTTGAAATATAACATACATACAGATAAGTACATAAAACATACATAAGTTTAACATGTAATCATAAAGTGAAAATAAATGTAACCAGCCCTAGGTCAAGAGAGCATTGCCAGCACTGAAGAGCCCCTACCCACCTCACCCACCCCCACCCCTGCCCTGTATTGCTTCTCCCCTATTATTCTTTCCTTCCTTACTATCATGATTTGTGAGATAATCATTTCCTTGCTTCTTAGGATCACTTCACCATGTATTAGGGAAAACAGTATTGTTTAGTTTTGCCCATTGTCAGTCTTTATATTCTGTATGATTTCTTTTTTGCCTAGCTTCTATTGCATTGTTTATAAAATTCCCCTATGTTATCCTGTGTAGCTATAATCTGTTCATTTATTGCTTTGTAATGTCCTATTTTATGAATATACCTAAATTTATGGATATTATGGAGTATTTCACATTTGGGGTTTTGCCTTTAAATATTCTTGTATATTGTATCCTGGTGTACCTACCTGTACATGAGTTTCTCTACATCAGTGGTCCTCAAATTTTTGATTCCAGAATCTTTAAAATTAGTTAAATAAATTTTTTTAATGAAAAAAATAATTATAGAAATCTGAGACACTTAAAATATTTATTGACTAATTCATTTAAAAAGAAAAACAATAATAAACCCATTCCATGTATTCATTTCCTGAGGATGTCATTACAAATTATCACAAACAGGGTGACTTAAAGAAACAGAAATTTATTCTTTCACAGTGGTTGAGGCCGGAAGTCTAAAATTAAAGTGTTGCCAAGGTTGATTCCTTCTGGAGGCTCTGAGGAAGAATCTGTTCCATGACTTTCTCCTTGCTTCTGGTGGCTGTGGGCAGTCCTTGGCATTCCTTGGCTTGTAGATACATACTTCAATTTCTGTCTTTGTCTTCACACAGCATTCTCCCTGTGTGTCTGTTTGCCTCAAATCTCCTTCTCCTTTCTCTTGTAAGGACACCAGTGTTTGGATTTAGGGCCTACCCTAAATCCAGGATGATGTCATCTCGAGATTCTTAACTTGATTATAACTACAAAAACCCTATTTCCAAGTCAGGTCACATGATAAGAACTGGGAGTTAAGATTTGCACATATGTTATCTGGGGGATACAATTCAACCCATTACACATGTTAACATGAATAACACATTTGTAAATTTAAAAAGTAGCCATATTTTCTAAATAAAAATTTAGTGATGAGTAGCATTGTTTTCCATTTGTGTGAATCAATTTAATATCTTGACTCAAACAAGAAGCTGTGTTCTCAAATGCCTTTACATTCAATCCATTTTATATTGTTTGGGTTGAAATATATGATGAAAATCCATTCTCACATAGATAATCTCAGGTACCCTGAAAAGGATTCAGCAGCTCCTAGAGATCTTTGGAGCACATTTTGAGAACCACTGCTCTAAAGCATATAAAGTATATGCAAAGTGGAATTTCTAGGCTATATATATCTTCTATTTTATTAGATAATGCCACATTGTTTTCCAAAGTGGTTGTACCAATTTAAATTTCCACTAGCAGTGTATGAGGGATCTCATTGCCCTACATGGTCACCAATATCTGGTATTGTTGCACTTTAAAATTTTTGCCTACCTGGTGGTATGCAATATATTGCATTATGGTTTTAATCTCATTTATTCATTCTTTGTATTGTCATTTCATGTATGAAGAAACCGAGGTTTAAAAGAGCAATGTTGGACGTGGTCCCATAGTGTAGCAGTTAGCATGTCTGCTTTACACGTAGAACTTGTCCTGAGTTCATGCCCCAGTGGAGTCACAGTCCATGGTCTACAGCCATGCCACCCTGAACAAGACTGATGTCTGATCTTGGAAGCTAAGCAGGGTCAGGCCTAGTTAGTACTTGGATGGAGACCACTTAGGAAGACCAGGTGCTGTAGGCATAAATAAGAAGAATGGTACTTGGCCAAATTTAAGAGTTAAAAAATACCACCCACATTTTGCACTCCTAAATTCAGTCATCTTTCCACTTACAGAAGAAATAATGCTCCCTTTTGGCCTAATGCTCAGGAAAGTACAATCTCCCCCAAATCTCACCTCCTCTGGGATCTTTTCCTTGTGTGAGGCTTTGGACACCCCAGGCCAAAAGAAGTTCTGGGGCTCCCTGCTCATCAACATTCCTCCATCCCCTGTTCTTCCTCCCCACCTCCTCATTGCCCCCCTCACTTGCCTGCCTAGTTCCTACCCACCTGCCTCTATTTTTTTCTCATAAAACTCTCTACCCACCCTCTCTGTTGATCATCTTAAAGTGCATGAGCCTCATTGGGGTCATTTATTTAAAAAGGTATAATACCTAATTTGTGTTTATTTGCATGAGAAAATGTATACTTTAAGGAATCAACACGTTAGCTACTATTAATATTACCCACTATTATTTTTTTAAGCACTCCAACGCAAGCCAGTGGTGGGATTATAGGCAAGTTATTCAACTTTTTTGATCCTCAATTTCCTCATCAGTAAATAGGAATAATATCTACCTCATAGGGTTGTTTGAAGGATCCAGAGACATAATAAATGTAATGAGCTGAGCATAGTGCCAGATGATAAGGAGTACTCATTGGGTGTTTATTTTTATTTAACAAAATCTTATCTAGTGCTTACTATATGACAATCATTCTTCTAGATACTTTTTTCCAAAAATTGAAGCCTTGTCATAATCCTGAGTTAGGTACTATTATTAACCACATTTTACTGATGCAAAGACTGAAGCAGAGAGGTCAAACAACTGACCCAAAGTCATACAGCTAGTAAGTAAGTAGCAGAGTAGGGTTTAGAACTCCTGCAATCTGGTGGTTCCAGGTTTCGTGCTCCTTGCTAAAGTGCTATCAGCACCCCGCCCCACGCCAACAAATATATTATTTGAGGAAACTCTGCAAATAGCAAAGCACTCTACTATCGGTGGTTAGCTCCCAAGGGCAAAACGAGCTCTTTTTCACTCCCTCAGAGCTCCCTTAGCGCTCAGTTCTCACAGAAACACCAGCCTGTTCAGCAGATATGGCATAGCTCCCACCGACAGATGGTCAGCGAAGCCACCCGTCGGCCACACCCCTTCTGGCCCCGCCCTACCCGCCCGACACTTCTAGCTCCGCCCCTCGTCCCAGGATATGGAGGCCAACCCGACGTCTCGCGAGCGTCCACGTACACACTCTAACGCCTCTCCCCTAGGCCGGGGGAGAGTACATCCGGGTCGCTGGAGCAGGTGCCTCAGGCCCCGCCCCTTTCGCCCAAGCATCGCCCCCACTTCCGGCCACTTCCGGCCACCTCAGGCCTTTTCCGCTTGTTCTCTGCTGGTTTTAATCTCTCCTTCTCAGGTTGTTTCCGACTGTAGGCCCGGGTCATCTAGCACCCCTTTCCTGCTACCAGCAGTTCGCTGCTCATCCGGTTTCTGTCCGAGGTTTGGAGCAACTCTGCCGTGCAAATTCGCGGAGCGGTCGGGGCTGAGGCCTTCCGCGCACAGTGAGTCCGCGCAGACCTGACCCCGCGTCTACCTACAGCTCCGTGGAGGCCACCGCCGCCTCCGCCTAGGGATGCCGCGGCTGGGGTCCGCGCAGCGCTGGGCGGCCGCTGTGGGCCGTTGGGGCTGCAGGCTGCTCGCGCTGCTGCTGCTGGTGCCGGGACCCAGCAGCGCCTCTGAGATCACTTTCGAGCTGCCTGACAATGCCAAGCAGTGTTTCTACGAGGACATCACGCAAGGCACCAAGTGCACCCTCGAGTTCCAGGTACTATACAGGCTCTGGCAGTCTCGGGGCCCCAGTTCGCGGTTACAGATTCCGAGCTGTAACTTGCTGGGGCCCCCCCTTCTGGCCTTGGTTTTCCATTCTTTGGCTGATTCAAGAATCGCCTCTAGATAGTTTATAAAGAGCATTTTGGCTTTCATGTTCTAGACCTCGGGCGAGAGACATTTAAGACCAGATATTAAGATATATGAATTCCAGAAATGCTTCCGGTAACTGTGTCTCTTCCTTCCGTTCTCTAGGCCATTGAACTTACTTTCTTAAAAGATTCTCTTTTTAAACTATTCCTGTTTTATAGTGCCCAGTGTCAGTCCCTCACTCTCTAATCCACACCTCCACTTTAATCAGATTTGAGGTGCTGCCAATATCTAACTCCAATGCTTTTTA